CCCCCCCCCCCCCCCCCCCCCCCAGTCATAGCCTCCTGAGTAGCTAGGATTATAGGTGGGCACCACTGTGCCCAGCCTGTAGTTTAGTGTTCTATATCCTGTGAGCACTCTAAAAAGATTTCACCTTGCCTGAAAATTTGAGTACATGTTCCTTACTTATTGCCTGGCTTTACTTTGTGCCTTCCTGATTATTACTTCATACCTAAGGTTTAGAAAATAGTTCAACTAAGTATTTGGTTTGATAAACTAATATAAGGAATTTTGTAAAATCTCACAGTAATGTGAGAATCTTTTATTCCCAAGATTAAGAAATAAATTACTGCCTAGTATATAAAAATGATTGAGAGGAAAGTTATACTATTATTCTTTAAGGAAAATTAAATAGGTTCAGAAGTTCAAATGTTAGCAGAATACTGGTGTTTCTGAAAGGAATCCCAGTATTGATTACGGATGAAATAGAAAAACAGAATTTTTAAAAAAATTTAAATTGCTAGTGCAATTGATTCAATGAGTTGCATAATCTTACATCATATTTGAGTTCTTTTCATAGGAACTCCAATTAATTGTTTATTGATTAGTCATCAGCTTACTATTTCATGAAGTAGCTGGTTCCATGTTTAAGGTGGTGATGGTAAGAGGTTGATGCAGAATATGCTCCTATATACATCTTAAACTTGAAAAATCACTTAGAAATTGTTCAGTTTAGCACCTTTTACATACATCGTGAGTGATGCCTAGAAGCATCAGTTCTGTTTCCATACTACTGATAAATAATAAATTGTGTGGAAAACTGGAGTCTCTCAACAATGAGCTCAGACAGAGGTATCACATTACCACTTCTTGTTGACCCTGGTCCTGATGACAGAGCAAGTTTAATCCTTTTCAGATACCAGTCTTCAGGATATTAGTTCCCCTGCCCGTCTTAAGCCCTTTTTCTTTTCTACAGATCACATATCCCCATGCCCCCACTCATGAAGCATATTTTTGAAATTCTTAAAGATTGTGTAGATCTTCTCTGAACATATTTCAGGTTTTTATTGTTTCTTTGTGTGTGACATTGAACCAGCACAGTCTAGGCTGTTAAAACACATGACCTTGCTTGTCCATGGAATCCCCACACTACTTTGTCCTTACACCTTAATTTTATTACATGGTAAGATTCTCTTAGGCAAAGAATTTACTGATACACAAAGTGTTTTCTTTGTTTAAAAAAAAAGTATATGCCAAAAAATCTGAATTACTGTAACATTTTGTATATTGTTAAAACTGTAACTTTAATTGTAAAAAAAAAAATTTAAAAAAAAGTAGTAAAAGACTACAATACATAATTAGTAAAAGAATAAAATTGACTCAAGGTAATAGTTAAGACCTTGGAAAGTCAGATAGAAAAGTATACTCTAAGGAATTGGTTTGCTTGCTTAATTCTGACATAATAACTGAGTTCTGTGTTAAATGACCTGTGTAATATAAAATGTCATTTTTTTCAGGCTGTTCTTGCAAATATAAGGGTAATCAGGCATTTTGGAGCCAAACTGTTGTTACATGACAAACATTGAGAAGATGAACTTGCATTTAGAAACAGAATTAGGAATGAAAGTCAGTGCTCCACTGGAAAAGTTTGGGAAGTACACAAACCACTGAAGATGGTGAAGAAATAATCTTGGAAGCCTGAGAATGTAGCCTGGGTTCTAATGCAACTCTTATGTGCTGCGTAGTGAAGTCCAGTGCAAACACTACTATAGCAAGCTGTTTAAGCTTAACAGTATTTTTAGTTGCCAATTAGAATATGTAGTTTTTCACCTGAATACTAAAATGATCTCCAGAAGACATGAGGTACTTACTTGTTTGATGTAAAAATCCATAGATGCTCAAGTCTTATAAAATGACATAGTATGTACATATAACCTACTCACATCTTCCCATCTGCCAAAGATCGTTTCTAATAATATTGTGCTAGGTAAGCTGTCATTATTTAGGGAGTACAGAGAATAAAAGTCTACACATACTTAGTTTTTACCCTCTGCAGTATTTTCAATCTGCAGTTAACTTAGATCAGTGGATTCAGAATCCATGGACATGGAGGACTGACAGTTCTACCATTCCGTAGAATTTTGGAGAAAACAAGGAAGATGCAGTTTACATAGCTACCCTGGGCACCTTTGCTGGTCCTTCACCTGTTTTCTCTAGCGGTTCATCTATCCTGTGAAAAAGCTGGGAATATTTCTATTTTATACACCAAGAAGCACAGAGGTCACAAAACTTGACCAAAAGCCTGTTAGTAGGAAAGGAGATCACATTTGAAAGGAAGTCTGTTAATCTAAGGAATTCTGTTACGTCTTTGATTATCAAATGACTTTGCCCGAAGAATGCAGGTCCTCAGGAAAATTTTGTTTACACCTGCAGTAGATAAAAGGATTATCTTTACTTGGTATGCATTCATGAGCATTTTTAGGTTTATAGAAAAGTACACCAGACAGGGCACAGTGCCCATATAGTTTCCTTATATGGCCTAAAGTTCTTTTTACATCTTACATTAGCGTGGCACACTGTTACAGCTGATGAACAAACATTGGTACCTTATTAAAGTCCATAGTCCACATTGCTGTACATTGTGTCAGTTGCCATATATGTAGTGTTACGAATTCACTATTACAGTATCAGAAGTTTCACTGCCCCACCCCCTGTGCTTCCCTACACACGTAGCTGGTCATGATAAACCTGTGCTTAGTTTTATGTGAACTGCCAAAACTGTCTTCCAAAGGCGTATACTGAAATGAGCGCTTTCCCCAGCCCCAGAAAAGATTTTATTTCTCTGTACTGTGGTCTTTCAACTTGGGGAGAATGGGAGGGGCTGGGGGCCCTGCAGCCCATGTGGGGAGGATGCTGCTTGGATGCAAATTCTTTGCAGTTTACATTCCTACCTGCAGCGACTGAG